GGGGGTGGAGCGTGGTCAGTGGAGGACTCCAAGCCTGGTCGCTCCTGTTGCCCATCCTTGGGCAGATTCACATCACCCTGTGCTCCCACTGCCAGCCATTCCCGCCCTCCAAGGTGGAGCACCCTTCCTCAGACTGAGGCCCCAGGACACCCCTCCTCCCCAGAAACCCTTGTCAGCCCGAGAGGCAAGGCAGGCAGGCCTATGGCGGCAGGCAGCAAGGCCAGAATTCTAGACCAGACAGAACGGGCTGGGAATGTGGCTCAGTGGTAGAGCGCTTGCCTAGCATGCATGAAGCCCTGGGTTCGATTCCTCAGTACCTCATAAACAGAAAAAGCTGGAAGTGGTGCTGTGGCTCAAGTGGTAGAGAGCTAGCCTTGAGCACAGAGAGGCTCAAGGACAGTGCTCAGGCCCTGAGTTCAAGCTCCACAACCGGCAAAACAGAAACAAAAAAACAGACAGAAGGTACCTACCAAAGTCCTAGGGACATCAGAACATCAGAAACTCTCTGGCAGGGCTCTGAGGTCTTCCTTCCCTGAGGAGCTGGAAACTGGAGTGAGGAGCCCCAAATCTAGCCTAGGCTACACTAGACTGGATAGGGCTGGAGTACATTCTAGCTCCTCATCTCTGTCCTTCCAAGAATATAGGTAGATAGACGCTCAGCGCTGCCCTGCGCATGCGCAGACTAAGTACAGAGAGGCTTCCCTCCCTTCTCCCCGCATCGGCCTGGGAGACTCTTATCTCCAATTAACCAGCAAAAAGCCAAAAGTAGAACTGTGGTTCAAGTGGTAGAGCTCCAGCCTTGAATATAAAAAGCTAAGAGAGAACAGGTGGCTTTGAGTTCACGTCCCAGCCATGGCACCAAAACCAAAACCAAAACCCTCTGTATTTATTCAGTACTCCATTCTTCCATTCATCAAAGGCTTTATTATGTACCCATTATGGCCAAGGCCTCGGTTTCTCCCTGTGTCTATCTCTGCTTCCCCTGTGTGCCCTGGGCCTGCTGTACATGGGGCCTTCCTGGCTGTCTTGGTTATGGGGACCCAGTCTCTGCTAGGCGCTGTCTAGGCCTCGGCTTAGCAGACAAACTAGGTTCCCTGTGGTAGCTTCCCTCTTGCCTCTGGTACCAGCACCCAGCACACCTGGCCAAGCACAATCCACAATCCACCCCCATTGTTGAGATCCCAGGAGGAAGCTGTTTGGCCAAAACAAGACACTTAGGTCAGGGGCCACTGCGATGCCTGGAGCCCAGGACACAACACTCCTACGCATTTCAGCTCACATCCACCAGCCTCGGAGGACAACACAGGAGAAGGCTGCCCAGCACCAATGACAGCATGAAATGGGGGCGGGGGCTGAAGTAGGGAGGTGCCAGCCCCTGGGACAGACAGCTGGGTCTGAGGGGCTCTGGGATGGCAAGGAGAAGCTCAGTCTACTGGTCTACCATCTTGGAAGCCTGCCCAGGCCTCCAGGGCAGAGGATCCCCAATGTGAGCCTGGATGGACCTGGGTGTCACTAACCCAGAGTATCTGGGGTTTGTCTGGATGTAGAACCAGCTCTGCTTCAAGAATTCCCAGTAGAGGGAAATCTGTTCTAGAGAGGATTTATCAAAGGGCCTACTTGCTTTATTAGTCTTTAATAAGCCTTGTACTTCCCTAAGCATTAAAAAATGTGATCCAGCTGGAAGCTGGTGGCTCACACCTGTAATCCTAGCTATTCTGGAGGCTGAGATCTGAAGATCAAAGTCAGCTTGGACAGACAAATCCCAGATACTCTTACCAGCCTCATAACACCAACTTCCTCTACTTAATCAATTCAACGTATCTCCAATTGAATCAAGTTAATAGATGGATTGCAGACAAGATTCGGGGACCCCACGGGAGACCTCTGTGTGCCCTATCCCACTTTCTTGGGACTTTGCCTAGAACAAGGGGGCAAACTAAAGAACTTTAAACAATGAAATGACACAATTCTTTCATTCCACAGTAAGTTCAGACCACCTCCCTTCCACCATGAAGATGGGGTTTGCCGTGGCTTGGAGACTTCATTCATTCATTGATGAGTTAATTAGAAGACATCAGGTGGGTCTCTGACTGATGAGTGGAGCTTCCTGGGTGGACATGATCCTTGTCACCCCGCCCTGGGAACAGGCTTTACTGTTCCCTTCCAACGGGAGCGTGCCACCCTTGAGAAAGCTCGGCCCTTCTCTTTGGGTCTAGGGAGCGTCATTAAGTTTAGGCTCCCAGCAAGCTACCAAGGAGGATGTCCCATGGCTGTGACTGAGGCCTACCTTCCCCACGCTCCTGACAACTCCACTCTGCCCCCTGCACTGTCCTTTTGCTCATCAGAGACTCCCATGAGCCTTAGGGGCCTAAAGCCAAATGACCTTGGTGAGGCAAAGACATGTGCTCAGGCGACCAGCTCAGAGGGCAGGAGAGGCAGCCTGGGAGGAAAATTCAAGAGCAAAGCTGGGTACCAGGGCTCACGCCTACAATCCTATTGACAGAGGCTGAGATCTGAGGATGGCAGCTCAAAGCTAGCCCAGGCAGGAAAGTCGGGGAGACTCTTATCTCCATGTAACCACCAAAAAGCTGAAGGTGGAACTGTGGCTCATGTCGTAGAAGGCTAGTCTTGAGCTAAAAGAGCTCAGGGACAGAGTCCAAGTCCTGAGTTCAAGTCTCAGAACCAACACACACACACACACACAAACACACAAAAGTAAAGGTGGTTGAGGGTAAGGGGGGAAAACCTTGAAATTCACACAGAAAATCACGTATTACTGGGAAGGCTTAGGAAACTAGGGGGCTGGACAAGGTGACCATGAAGATCAGTTAGAATGTTCTGGTTCTCAAACTGGCCAAACTTAGGCTAGCTTTGAAACTCGATTGAATTCAATGTGATTCTCATACAGTAGAGCCGATCACTTGGCAGCATGGCTGGCTGGCTAGTGTTCAAGAGCCACAAAGCAAGATTCAGCACTCAGTCCTGGGGTGCTTACTGACTAGACCCCAAATTTCATCCACTTCCCCTCCCAGGGGCTCCTTCCAGAGAAATCTGAATCCCAAATAACTTCCAACCGGGCAAAGTTCCCCCCAGTGAAGGTACAGAAGTGGCGGGCCCCACCTGCCCCCAGCCCACCCCTGCTTCTGAGCTCAGCGGACAGAGACCCACAGGCACTCACCCGGCCACTGTCCCTGTCCATGGTCTGTTAGAGATGGGTCTCCGGGCTCAGCTGATGTCAACGGGAAGATCCATGTTGGGTCTGGGCTCCCCAGCATGTGAGGAAAAGGAGGCTCAGGGCTGAGGACCAGCCCCCACCAAATGGGGCGGGGAAGATGGTAGGGATGTGTGAGGTAATCCCGGTATAAACAACAGAACTGGCTAGACCAGTCCCTCCACCCCATCCCAGGCCATCCCAGGTACACAGCCAATACCAGAGTGGAAAGCTACCCTGTTCTTCTGAAACTGCCCCCACAGGAGGGCTGGGGCCGCCCCTTCCAGGGATGGGGGTAGCTCTGGGCCCCCAGGAGACCCAGGAGCTGACCCTGCAGAACTTTATCCCCCAGGACCACGAAATTCCACATGGGGCATGTGAGCTGGCAATATTTTTCTGGTTGCTTAGTGTGTGTGTGTGTGTGTGTGTGTGTGCATGCCCACACACTCACACCCCACCTCCCATTCCCACCCCCAGTACTAAGGCTTGAACTCAGGGCCTAAAAGTCTCACTTGGCTTTTCCACTCCAGGCCCTCTACAATTTCAGCCACACCTTCGCTTCCACGATTACTCTTTTCTTCGAGAACTCTTAACAAAGCAATTGAAATCAAATGCTTTTTGTTTTTGTTTTTTGTCGTTCGTAGGGCTTGAACTCTGGGCCTGGGCGCTGTCCCTCAGCTCTTCAGCTCAAGGCGAGTGCTCTACCACTTGAGCCGCAGCACCGCTTGTGGTTTTTTGGTGGTTAATTGGAGATAAGAATCTCACAGACTTTCCTGCCCAGGCTGTCTTTGAACTGTGATTCTCAGATCTCAGTCTCCTGAATAGCTAGGTGTGAGCCATCAGCATCCAGCTTCAAATGCTTTTTTAATTATGTACATAGGGAACTGTCTCCATTGAAAAACAATGAAATGTTAGGGAACAGCACATCCAGGTCAATTACAATGCCACATAAATATTCGCATGGAAACCAGCCCAAGACATAGTGGGCTGGCTCATGACTGTGATCCCTACTCCGGATTCGGATTCCATGCTCAGAATCAAAAGGAATAGAGGAAGAGCCCAGAACCTTAACTTCAGCTCTTCTGCTGAGGATGCTTCAAATTCTGAGAAGGCTGTGGGAAGAATGTTCTAGATCCTGTGCATTTGAGGGCACTAATTTTGTTGTTGTTGTTGTTGTTGTTTTTGTGGTCGTGGGGCCTGAACTCTGGGCCTGGGCGCTGTCCCTCAGCTCTTCAGCTCAAGGCTAGAGCTCTACCATTTGAGCCACAGCGCCACTTCTGGCTCTTTCTGCTTATGTGGTGCTGAAGAATTGAACCCAGGGCCTCATGCATGCAAGGCAAGCGCTCTACCACTGAGCCACCTTCCCAGCCCTGGCACTAAAATTTTGAGTGTGCAGGAAACTCAAAGATCACCTGTGGCTCCTTCCATTTTCTCATTTTTTTAGGATGAAGAGACAATGACCAGAGACACTGGTCATGGGAAACACACAGCAACAGTGATCATAACAAGGCACTGGTGTTTGGTGGAATACTTGACATTTGTCCTTCATACATTCATCCAACAAGTATTTACCAAGAGTCTCTTACATGCCTGGCTCTGCTCCAACATGGCTGCAGGATGATCACAAAGAGAGCCAACATCCTTTTCTAAGCCTTCTAGATTTTTCTGATGGGTACAAATTTGCCACACTGCCTTGACATATCTGTTCAAGGCTGGTGCTCTATCACTTGAGCCACATCTCTACTTCTGGATTTTTACTAGTTAAGGAGAGATGAAAGTCTCATGGACTTCCCTGTCTGGATTAGCTCTGAACTGTGATCTTTAGATCTTAGTCTTCTAAGAAACTAGGATTCCAGGCATGAGCCACCAGGGTCTAGAACAATTTTCTGAATCGTAATACTCTGCATGGTTTGAGGAGGAGTAGATTAGCCTCATTGGCCTCTTGATTGGGCTGACTTTAATGGATATTTTTTTTTAAAGTGTGAGACCTTATCTGAAAACTAGCAGACAAAAAGCTGGGGTTGTAACTCAAGGGGTAGAACATCTGCCACCAAAGAAATAAAAATAAGGAAGAGCCTGTGTGCAGAACAGACTCACATGCAAGGGACACAGAGAAGAGTCAAAAACTTCTGCTCCAGCTTAGGGTATCGCAGGGAAATCTAACCTAGAGGCAGAGGCAAAAAACGGGGCCAAAGAGACAGAGGAGGAAACAGGGAAATTATATTGCCTCATCAAATAGCAAAAGAACCAGACCCAGAAGTTAAAACCAGGAAGGAATGGGAATGGCATGTGAGTCTTGCTCCCACCATTCTTCCTTTCAGGTACTGAGTTAGCAGGACTGGAGACCTGAAGGGGCTATGGAAGCCTCTTCTTTCCTTCCAAGTGGTAAGAAGCTATAAACTGTTCAAGAAAAAGCCAAGCCCAAATGATCAAAACGTATCATATTTTAATGCAAAACTTAAAAAATATTAACACAAGAAGTCCACGATTGAAAGATTGTCAAAAGAAGCCAGGCGCCAGTGGCTCATGCCTGTAATCCTAGCTACTCAGATCTGAGGATCACGGTTCAAAGCCAGCCTGGGCAGGAAACTCCGTGAAACTCTTATCTCCAATAAGGAAACCGGAAGTGGTGCTGTGGCTCAAGCAGTAGATGCTCGCCTTGAGGTGAAGAGCGCAGGGACAGTGCCCAGGCCCAGAGTTCAAGCCCCACGACCGACCAAAAAAAAAAGATTGTCAAAAGAGCAGAAAGGAATGACATTGTCCCCAAAGAAATGTACTCTTTAGACTTCTCAGAAGAAGAGATAAAAATGGCAAAGAAACACATGAGGAAATGTTCACTATCCCTGGTTATGAAGGAAATGCAAATAAAGACAATCCTGAGAAACCACCTTACCCCAGTCAGAATGGCCCACATCCTCAAGTCAGCCAACGACAAATGCTGGAGGGGATGCGGAGAAAGAGGAACCCTATTACACTGCTGGTGGGAATGTACACTTACACAACTTTGGAAAGCAGTCTGGAGGGTCCTCAGCAAGCTAAATATTGATCTCCCTATGACCCATTCATACCACTTCTAGGCATCTACCCTGAACAACAGGAACCAATATACAAGGACACGTGCACCTCCATGTTTATTGCAGCACTGTTCACAATAGCCAGGATATGGAAACAACCCAGATGCCCCACCACAGATGAATGGATCCAAAAATTGTGGTATCTATATACAATGGAATATTATGCAGCCAGTAGAAAGGACAAAATAATGGCATTTGCAAGGAAATGGATGGAGCTAGAAGAAATCATGTTGAGCGAGGTAAGCCAAGTGCAAAGAGACAAACAGCACATGGTCTCACTGATAAGTGGATGTTAAATCCAAAATGTTAGATGATATGACAAAATTAACAGGACTTAAGAAACAATCTGGTCGAATCTCTACTAAATAACCCCATGCTGCTGATCAAATGTATGTTGTATATGTGTACAATGGAGGAGAACCAGGAAGACGACACAGAACTAGAGGGAATCAGGGAAAAACACACAACAGCGGGACCCATCAGCTGTGCTGGACATTGACCAAAATGAACTAAGCAATCAATGGCAGCGATGGGAGGGAGGGAACAAGTGGGAAAGAGGGAACAGCTGATGCTATGCAAAACAAAAGAAATGTACAGATTACCCCATGTGGAAGAAATAACTGTATTGCAAAGCTCATAGAACTCATAAATGTTATAGACGATGATAAAAAAAAAAAAAGAAAACAGCGTGGGGAGGCTTGGAAGGGATGGGAAGGGGAAACAAAGGAGGAGGCTACAATGCTTGATAAGAAATGTACTCATTATCTTGCCCATGTAATTGTAACCCCTCTGTACAGTTTTTTCACAATAAATAAATAAATAAAAAGAAAACAAAGAAAGAAAAATAAAAATATAGTTTTATATATATATATATATAAAGAAATGTACTCTTTACCTGACTTATATAACTGTTATCCCTTTGTGTATTACCTTTATAACAACAACAATAATAATAATAATAGTAATAATTTTTAAGTCAGGGAAAAGGCAGTTTCTGGCTCTCACACAGATTTTCTCTCCCTTTCCACAGTACTTGAACTCAGGGTCTTGTGTTTGGTCGCCTAATGCAATACCACTAAACGCCAGCCCTGCTTCTTTTTACTACTTAATAGTGGGGGAGGGAGGGACCTTGGGAAGGTGGCTCAGTGGTAGAGCGCTTGCCTCACCTGCATGAGGCCCTGGGTTCGATTCCTCGGCACCACATAAGCAGAAAAAGCCAGAAGTGGCGCTGTGGCTCAAGTGGTAGGGCACTAGCCTTGAGCTGAAGAGCTCAGGGACAGCGCCCAGGCCCAGAGTTCAGGCCCCACGACCGACAACAACAAAAATATGGGGGGGGGGCTTGAACTCAGGACCTGGGCGCTATCCCTGAGCTTTTGTGCTCAAGGTTAGCGCTCTACTACTTGAGCTCCACTTCCAGATTTTTGGTGGTTCATTAGAGTTAAGAGTCTCATGGACTTTCTTGCTCAGGCCTCATTGGCCACAGCCCTCACATCTCAGCGTCCTCATAGCTAGGGTTACAGATGAGAGCCATGGCGCCCGGCTCCCCCTGAATTCTTCCTCTGAAGCAGGTGTCACAGGAGGCACTCTGCGTCAGTGTGGTTTTGGATACTCGTTAGCGTCCATCTCCCGTTTTAGATCTATGTTTTAAAGGTGGTGAACTGGTGCCTGGCGAGAAGGCTTGAGGCAGGATGCTTTCTTTGAATGTGATCCTTTCCCAGCCGTTTCAGAGTTTATCAGAGCAGGTGATAAGTGAGGGGTCACAGAAGATGAACCCCTGACAGTCCCAGGTTAACCCTGCTGGGTCTCACCAGCTGTCCCCCCAGGACAGACTTTACCCTCCTGCCTTAGAGGGAAATAGTTAAGCATTTTGATTTTTTTAACCTTTTTTTTCGGGGGTGGGGGTGGGGGTGGGGA